CCTTGATCCCAAGATTCCCACATCATCATAGGGAGTAACAAAAAAGCGTTTCTATGTTATTAAATGATGTAGGAAGAAACTAGTGATTATTACAAATGTTCGATAATAGATAATCATATCATAAATATAGGCAAATGTCTTATGCAATCACCTGTATCGTCATCAACATTACAAATGCAGTGATCTAGTGGTATTGACTGCAATGCTCTGCTAGTGTTTGATTGCTTGGAGCTGCCGAATTATATTCTTGTGGTGATAATATGGGCTGCTGTTGGGATATGACAGATAGCTTATTAAGAGAGGGCTTAGAGAGAAAAGGGTGGAATGGGAGAATGAGGAAATGTTTGAGATTGAGAGATGAGAGACTATGTTAATGTGGAAAAACCCTAATGTATAATGAAGTAATGTTAGGTGTATTTGTGTGTCAATGTGTCTGCGTGTTTGATTTACATTTCCGGAACCTGGCCATACCTAATTTGGCTGCTTCAATATTCATTTCACTAGGAGCAGGCGGGGTTGTAATATCAGAAAAACCCATCCCGTCGCCATCCTTGTTCTTATCTATGGATGTCTGGCTGGTGGAATTGCTCTTTTTGCTGGCTCTTCCTATTTTATCTAGTTAAACAGTACCCATGCTGAATTATTTTGTTGGTATAACCAGAACTTGCTATGTAATCTGTTTTTATGACTAAAAATTTGTCAAGACTCTCAAATAGTTTATATGATTAAAATAACAAGATTGTTGCAATCTTGGTAATAGGAGATGTTGATATACATATCTCACTTTATTTTTTTTTTTCCATTCAGCACTAGAGCATTTTATTTATTTATTGGTATATAGTAGATGACAACATATCAATAATAATTTGACCTAGGCTGGTAGGGTTGGGCCATAGTCCATTGCATCTCCAATCAGAAGGGTTATAGTTAGTAAAATGCAGGGCTGGAAAAATGGGTATTATACAATTTTATTTTGACATAAGAAAACATGAATGACAAACTTACTGATATATACATATACAGGTAGAATACGAATGCTAATAAAAAGATTTGAGTTAAAAAGTACGGTAGCATTTATATATTATATGTTGTACATATATGACAACAATTATGATTTTTTCTATTATTATTATTTTTTCTATCGTACCTCAATATTCAACCAAATTAAAAGATTAATGAAATAAATTCATGGTTATAAAGATTTAAAAAGACGTTAAGAGTTGCATACTTATTTGCTCGTATATTCTATTTTGTACTAACCAGAAAGAGGGATATCATGTGCTGTATCACAAATATTATTGGTACCTAGAGCCTTGTAGCCTAGTGGTATTTCCTCACCTTCCAAAGTAGAAGGTCGAGGGTTCAAGTCCCCGTGTAGGGGCAAAAGTGGGTGTGTGAGTATGGTTCTTGCCAATGAAAAAAAAGAAACTCTTTACAAATTTAAGAAAAAAATTCCTAGATATATACTATTTTTGGCTAATCAGATATAAAATTTTAAGTTTCCTGCTCACTAGGATAATGAAATAGTTTTAGACAGATAATTGTTATGTTATATGAAGGCACACTATTAAAAATATCATTTACTCCCTCCGTCCCACTTTAAATGTCGCGTTCGGGAACACGTGAGTCACGGTTCCCGAACGCGACATTTAAAGTGGGACGGAGGTAGTATTATAATAAAATGATTAAAGGAAATGAAAGGCCTAAAAATGTTTATGCAGTGAAGTATTTTTTGTATGGTACGTGCATTATACATTCAATTCAAAAATACAATTATCATTTGTTAGGTTTGAAACCTATATGGCAAAGGCAAGTAGTGTTTTTTTAATTCAAGATGGCCTGTAGGCAAGTTTTATGTATCATTAGTTCTTGTTAAGGAGACTTGGTCTGAAATATAATTTTTGTTTTTTTTGATATGTAATATTTCATTAAAGGCCCTTGAAAGGGGAGTTCTCCCAAGAACAAACAAAAAAAGCCAACAAAGGCCAGCTATAATCTCAGTCTATCCACAAAATCTACAGAATCCCCCACTGATTTACAATTTCACCCATTTACCCCAAAAAATAAAAGAACTCAGTATGATGTATTTGAGAGACCAAATAGGAATCTCCTCTCCATCAAAGGATCTCCTATTTCTCTCTCGCCATAACCCCTACCATATACGAGGGATGTCCCTCCAAGCATTTGTACAAATGCATACCAACATTTTACAACTTCTTTTGACCTTAGCTTAAGGTTCAATTATCAAATGACCCTCGGCGGATATTAAAACAAGCAAATATTATTTAGGTTGTGATGTACAAGTGTGAGGAAAAAAAAAATAATTGCCTTTAGATTACTGATGATCTTTTATGTCATAAGCATCTAGAAATTACTTCCTATTATGGATTTTCTAGCCATATTGCTTATGATTAATATTAGGAATTAATCCTCCCAGGATTCTACATAACAAATATGCAATGGCAACAAAGAAAAATAAGATGGAAATAACACACAAAAAGACAAGATTTATGTGGTTTGGCAAATTGCCTGTGTCCACAAGCGAAGCACGACTAACTTTTTATTCAAAACATTTATTCAAAATATGAGGATTACAATTCTCAACGGATTACCAAAATGTATTCCACACATACTACAAATAAGAAGACAGTCTTCTAAAATGAATACTCTCGCTCTTGGCCCTCACTGATTTCAATCTCCTTTTCCTTGCCTATCAAATAAACTCACTCAACTCAACTCAAAGCACGGGACTCTATTTATAGATGAACTAACCCATAGCTTGGTGAGCAAGTGATACAAATCCTTGGTGGTCAAGATCCTGTAAGTTAAACTCTCACCAAGTTATTCTAAGTTGAATTGATTAGAAGTTGGCATGTGGCATTTTACACAAATCAAAAGCTAGAAAAGCACCACATCAGCTACTTTAAGAAAAACTGGATAAACGTTGCCATTTTTGAAGGGCATACACATCGTTGCAGATGTCTGAAACCCATCTCCTATTCCTTTCTTTCTTACCCCTCCCTTTCTCTCTTTAAACCTGCATAGTCTCTCACTCTGCCTCCCCTATATGTGTCTAAAAGTTGGATACAGGTGCGTAGAGATGTATTGCACATTTAAATATGTTATATATTTTTCTATTGTTAATGGTTAATGTTGTTGAATAAGAATATGCTCAATTATACTCAAATTAAATTGGATGTGACAAAAGAATAGGGTTTTCATGTATCTCATTGATAGAAAACTCCTATTTGCTATTTGTTAGAGGATTTAACTATTAAAGTTACACCATCTCTAACAGTTTAAGCTTTTAGAGTAGGTGGATGTTAACATGGTATGAGAGTAAGGCAAGGTCTTGAGTTCAAACCTCATCGTCACCCTAATATTAAAATTGAAAACACGTGTTGGCCCCCTCTGAGTAGATGGTTGTTAACATGGTTTTTTTTCTTCTTTTTCTTCAATCACGCTATTTGAAGGATCGGGCTCTCTAGTTTGGGTTTGTGTGTCGGACACATATTCTATACTCGTACCCATGTTGCATCGTGTCTACATGGTACATTAAGGGAACTAGAAGAGTCCATGTACCATAGCTTCTTTTTCTTTAGTTTTTGCTCTCTACCCACACAATCCCAGCAAACCCTTTCTGACCTCATCTCTATTACCCATTTTTACAGGATTTTTGTTGATCTGAATAGAAAGGGAGATTGAGAGAGAGAGAGAGAGAGAGAGAGAGAGAGAGAGAGCGAGTTCCGCTGGGAATCAGTTTCCAAAAGCCATTAGTTATTAACTATGCGAAACAATAAATTGTGATGGAAACGGCTTGGGGGCTTTGAGGTGCAGCAGCAGGTTAGAGTAAATGAGCAATTTGGTTTCTCGTTCCATTCTCAGGTTTATTTATTTTTTAAAGTTGAGATTCTCACCCACTTTGTCCCTGTGGGGACTTGAAGTCTTGAATCTTTGACCTTCAACTTTTAAAAGGTGAGGAAGTACCACTAGGTTATAGCTTTTGGTAATAGAAAATGGCTTATATGAGAGAGAGAGTTTTGGTAAAGAACATTGAAATGGTAGAAGTTTGATTCTGTGAACGGACTGCCATTCGGTAGCAATGTACTGCAATTTGCCATTATAAAAGGTTATTGTTATCAGAGGTTTTTTTTTTTTTAAAGCATCTCATGTGATATGATCTAAGTGACAGATTTGTGTAAAATGCTACATAGCAATGTCTAATGAATTCAATTTGGGATAAATTACAGAGGTATTAAATTAAAGATCCTGATCCTATCTTAATTGTTAGTTGGGATCTACAACACCAATTGTGTTCTGTCATTTGATTAGAAATCAGGCTTTCAATTTAATTTTATAATATTACTATACTAGGATAGCAGGGAAAAAGTCTTTATATCTTTTGATATGCTACGTTTTCCTCCTTTTAACATTTTGTCTGTTATAGGTGTCAATTTTTCGCTTTAGATTGCTGCCTTTCACCAGTGCTTCAGTAGCGAGTTTCCAGTGTATTACGGAACCCGAAAGCTATATGGTGTCCGCTAAGTATTACAAAATTCGAAAGCTATATTGTCAGTTTCAATGTTCCAGTACAAGTAATGGGCAACCATAGATTGATTCCAGAAGACCCACAAGCTCATCTCTTTTGTCTTCTACCATTTCAATGTTCTTTACCAAACATTGCATGCCAATCTGTTTTGTTTATTTCCTCCCTGTTTAAAATTAGGTATAGATAGAGTTATTATCTGCAGACAATACTACTTAATGCGATCCCATTAATGACCTTAGGTTTGTTTTTCTCGATACGCAACAAATAATCATTCGACTGCTGAGTTTCATCATCAGTTTTTGTCTTCACATTTCATAAATGCAATTTGCTTTGAGCTGCTCGGTCTGAATGTTGTTGAGACAGAGAAACCCTATTTTTCTTGTTGATAAGACTAGTTTATAACTCGTTTCAGTGCCATTGATCATTCTATTTCTTTGGTTTTCTTGTGTAGGTTCTTATGTGACTCATGAGACAAATCACTTTGTGTACTTCTATTTGGACTCGAAAGCAATCTTGCTATTCAAATCTGGTTGAGCGTGATGCAAATTTACTGGGATAATGACGTTGATGATGATGCTACAAGGTAGTGTGGTGTATGTATTTGATTGTAAAACTCCTAGCATGCAGTTTCTTTAGCAAGACATTTTTCTTGTGATTAACTTGTATATTTTTTTATTTTCATTTAAATGGGAACTTAAACTTTTTAATGTCTTCGAATCTTAATGTTCTTTCTTAATATTTTTGCATGTCGCTAAGCAACGGACGCTCTCTCTGATTACAATTAGTACGAGAAATTAGGAGATGGTCTCGGACAATGTGGTCCAGTTCAATCAAAGCTCTCTAATTAAGAAAAGTGGACTAATAGCCCTGTTTAGCAATCGCTTTTGCTTAGTGCTTTTGTTTTGACCTGAAATAGAAGTAATGTTTCTGTTTTAGAGTGTGTTCAATACTATTTGGAAGTATGTTTGGTAACGTTATATTTGTTGTAAGATTTTTAGAAGCAAAAATATTAAAAACATGTTTGGTTAAAAAGTGTTGCAAATTAAATGGCAAGCTAAAAGTTATTTAAGGGTTTTTATTTTTATTTTTTTGGTTACTGATTATTGCTACCGTGGTTTTGCTATAATTCGGAAGCAACTAAAAACACTAATTTGGTACTTCTAGTTTTGGCCTTTTTTTCGATAACGTTATTAAATACGCTTTCGTGTTTTGTTTCATTACTACACATGTCCGAAGCAAAAAACACGGTTGCCACATGCTATTAATTTTAATTCCATTACGTATACTTCATAGCAATATTCGCAACGTAAGGTCTCTAGTTTCATCAATGAAACATGCAAAGAGGTATTTATCAAATTGAGTATCGCTTTGTTACTTTCATGAAGAGATATGTTCAACAAAAAATGCAACCATCATCTTTTATTGAATAAAGTTACTCCATGGTTCCTCTCATTTCGGGGAATTATGGCAATATTCGCAACATAGGGTAGTTTCATCAATGAAACATGGTAGAGGTATTTAGCAATTTGAGTATCGCTTTGTTACTTTCATGACCTTGTGCGAGATATGTTCAACAGAAAATGCAACCATGGGATTTGTGAGTTTAAGCCCTGCTTTATAAGCTTTTGGCTCCCACAAATGCGGGGTTTATTTTTGGCTATACTTTTTGTTGTGTCCGTACATTAGTGTGGCTCTAGTAATTCCAAATCTTTTATAAAAGCAAGTTTTTTTTTTTTTTTTGTTAAGTCTTTTATAAAAGCAAGTTTTAACCTAAGATATACTTGTATGTAGAGTCTGGATCTTCATTGGTGCACTGCATGGACGAGTGTGATCGTTTACACATGTGGAAACTCTAGACACGTTAGTGGTGACTGTAGTAATGTCAACTCTTTTAATAAAAACAGGATTTAATCTAAGATATACTTGTATGTAGTGTCTGGATCTCTGTGGTGTGGTGCAGAGACGAATCTATACTCGTATGTAGTGCCTGGATCTCTGCGGTGTGGTGCTGAGACAATCGTAGACGCTTCAGACACATTAACAGTGACTATAGAATGCCATGTCTTTTTATAAAAGCAAATTTTAACCTCAGATATACTTGTATATAGAGTCTGGATCCTTTGTGATGTGGTGCAGGGACGATCGTGACTCCTCACACGTGTGGACACTCAATCGTAGTTGTTCGGTAGAGTACAACATCTAACACAACCCCAACCTCTCCCTAAATAAGAAATTTGTGGTGGTGTGTAATTTTGCTTGCTTGTTTGTTTGTTCTTCTCTTCTTTTCTTTCTTTTTCTTTTTAAATACTTTTTTGTGTGCAAAAAAAGAAAGAAAAAGAAATGCAATTGCAAAGGAAACAAAAATAAAAACATCTATCAAAAAAAAAAAAATTTGTTTAGCTATTTTCTATAAAAAAAATAAATTGAATTTCAGTTTATACTGTTTTTATTTTCTTTAAAAAGTTTATTTTATTTTATTTTAAAATTACCGCTTTCAGAAATCATCTTTAAATAACATAGCTTGGAAAATATATTTTCAGGAGTTAAGAAAAATAAAAATTGCTTTCGAGTCACAAAATTTTAAAGTTGTAGTAATCTCGTGCTTTCAAAATATTTATCAATTTAAAAAAAATGTTTCATAGAACAGTACTATTTCTGAAAATTAGACAAATAAATAAGTGTACCCTCAATGCATAAATCCAAAGTCGATTAATTAAACTAATTAAGCAAGTTTTAAATACGTATTATATACCAACAGTACCCTTCACATTTCACGTGGCCTGTCAAACAACCAAACCATATATGGCTTCACATATAAGAAGAGGAACAAACAAAAAGTGGATATCAAAGTCATTACACATCTTTGAACACGTACATGCGGTTGGCAAACCCATTAATTAAAATTTGCTCTATTTCTGAAAATGGAAGCCGCCAATGAACAGTTGCCTCTCTTTAAAGTCTCTTCCTCGTCCATCAGTATTTGCCTGTACCTGCACTCCTCGCTGCAGAAAGCTCTGTCCCCTCTGTATGTGTTTACATACATAAATATATATATATATATATGTGTGTATATATGTAAGCCAAGTTTTTAAGCAATATATAACAAAAAAAGTAAACGAACCTATACTATAAAAGGTTTTGAGCCCCAATAGCATATATATATTGTAGCAAAAAATAATAAAAAATAGATTAAACACAAACAAGAATATACAGATTTTATGTGTTCGCCCTAAAGAATTAGGGCTAAATTCACTGACATCAAGGATTTAAGTATGTTCAGAAAATGGTACACAATAAGGAGAGTTCGTAATGATATAAATTCCCATTAGGGCAACACATCAGGCTCAAAAATTACCAAATTACCTTTCAAAAAAATTCAAGACAGTAGTTATAACCATCAGCTCCACACTACACATTATATATATGTCCTTTCATTGTATATTGCAATTTCGTAGTATTCCGGTCAATGATTATTCACTATTTTCATAATAATTTTATTTTTTAAAAGTTCTCTCATTTTTCTTTTCTTTTTCTCAATCTACTTCTTAAAATTATTCTTTTTAACGTACATATTTAAATAATTTTATTCTTCTTTCTTCTTTCGTATTTTAAATTTGTTATCTATATATATATATATTTTGCAGCGTGTCCCACTGAATTGAAATTCACTCCTTACAATACTTGTTTATTTACCAGTGAATAAATTATTTTTACTTTGATGTGCTTCGACTGTAAGTGCACACGTAAAAATGAAGCGAAGTGACAATATTTTGAAGTTGGTATGATGAAGAAGTAAGGCGGATTTCAGTGGAAGAAAAAAAAGAAAAAACAAATTGTTTATACGCGCGCGCACACACACACACATACATATATATATATAGATAGATATAGATAGATAATTAAGAGGCGTGCATGCTTACTTGTACATGTAGATGTCATTTCCGGGCAAGAGTTTCTTTTGGCAGAGAAAGCATTGATCAAGAAAACTAGTTGCCGGCGGGTTACGGCGAGAAAGAGAAGAGGGTTTAATCATATTCATGCTTTTGTTGATCATGTTCATGCCTTTGTTGATGACTTTTGGTGCCTTCTCACCAAAACCCTTTTGACCTTCTAGTATTACACTCAGTCCCACCATCTCTCTCTCTCTCTCTCTAGTAATCGATGTTGATTATGGTGAGTAGTTTCCAAGGTAAAGTTTGGTTAAATGATGCAAAGACTAGAAAAATAAATATAAAAGAGAGATAGACAGGTGGTGCAAGGGTACTAGTGGGTGACGGGTCCTTTGAGAGTGATCCATATGGGAGCAAAGAAAGAGCAGTAACAAGGACCAGTAAGGCAGTAGGCAACAAATGTTCTTTAACTTCTAGTGCTTCTTAACTGCCACGTACCCACCCTAGGCCCTTAGCTATCAATTTTTGTTTTACATTTTCCTTATCTTTTTGTGTGTGTGTGTGCGTGTGTGTATTGCTTTGTCCTCATCTATTCGTTTTTTTGTATGTTCTTGTGCAGTTTTTGAAAATGTGGAAACCCAACTACATCTGATTCCTACTATATTTTCATCTTAAGGGAGTTGCAATGAAGTTGACCAGTTATTTGATCTCATATAATATTTCACGTGGTATCAGCCGGGTGATGGGAAAAACATTTCAGTTTCGCATGATTATTGGGCCCTCTTGATGACAGATTCTAACTCCACACCTAATTGTCAATTCCATTTGGAGCCACTGTTAAAGTTAGCTCTCTTACCAGGCATTTCCAATGGAGAATTAACCCTTCTTTCCATGCCATTGTTCCCTCTGTTTGTGAAAACAAGAGTTACTGGGAATGTGAAAATAGTTCATTGATTTTAATTGTGATTAACTACTTTAATGACCTAGATTTGATTATTAGGTCAACTTGCTCAATTTGTAATTAATTAAATTGTATGATCAATTAAACATCCACAATCATAAATATAAATACTGAAAAGTAAAACAAGTTAAGTTTAGAGAGATTGCACCAGGATTTTTAACGAGGAAATTTCAGTTGATAAAATACGTCAACTGTTTGTATGGGAAAAATCTTGTCAACTATCCAGTCCAAAGTAAACCAATCCACTATGTTTGAAATATAGTAATCCGAACTTTGACTTTGGCTCGCACTCTATCGTTTTACCAAACACCAATTGCTGATAATCTTCTGACTTTGCGACTCCCCGTCTAACAACAACTTGACCTCAGGCTTATGGTTGATATTTGTAGAAGAGTAGCAGGCAGATTAGACAACACTCCACGAATGCTCCAACCCTTTCAAAGTATGATCGCTTTTACTTCTGTTCTTCAATATCTAAACTCGATATAGAAGAATTAAATCATGCTTTTCATACGGAATATCTGAATCTTCAATATAGCTCCAATTCCGATGAGATAGAGAACAACATAACTAAATCACTCATGAATATATGTGTGTGCTTTCAAAAATAAATTCAGAATAATCAGATTAGATTTTCTAAATTTTCTCTCTCTAAAAGGCTTTCTAAAAATATAGAATTGATTTTCTCTAAAATTGTAAATAAACCTAGACGACTACTAAGGTTTATATACAGTTTAGAATGTCCTACTCCCTCTGAAAATATGAAAAATTTCGTGCATAGGACTTGGAAAGAAATTCGGATAAAAAAGGAAACTAACAGAACATGGAAACTGAAAACCTGATGCTGTTAGGACTCCTGGAACCGGTTCCCAAGGGTCAGAATCCTTTCCGACGTACTTTGGCTATCGGTTCCCATCTGTGGTATCGGTTCAAGAAGGACAGTGAAGAATTCTTCTTCAACCCATGTTTGGCTACCGGTTCCCAAGAGACAGAATTGAAATCTTTGTTTCCTTCAACCTTCTAAACTCCCTCAAGTGTTCTCACTCACTCACTTACCTTCCTAAAGTATTGTTCTCATCATCCCAGAGTGTAGCAACCCATGAACATTTGAACTTCTTCAAAACCGCATCTGATCTTCAATCTGTAAAATTTTGAAGCTAAAAATTACAACTCGATCGGAC